TACCGAAGAATGAAAGTGATGGATGAATGGGACACAACTGGATCTTCTGGCGAGCTGAAAGGAAACCGCTCGAGACGAGCTTTGTCTTAAGAGGGGAGCAGATGTAACGGACGAAGAATAGTCGCTGCAAGAAGAGTAGCCGAAACAAAAGGAGACACTGCAAGAACAGCCACCGAGGAAAAGGAACGGGGATGCACCGTTAGGCTATTCGGGACGAACAGCCTTAAGGAGGGAGCAGTGTGACATGTTGACCCCTACCTCCCCAGCTGCACGTAGCTGTAACGTAGCGCTCGCGTAATAGGCGAGTAATCACCCCGCATCCTGGTAGCTATGCAACGCGCAACGCGCGGTGACGTCACCGAGGGATATCGCGGTTGCTAGGCAGCAGTCAACAACTCCGGACAGCGTGGCTAGCAACAAGGCACCAGACGACAATTGTCCGATCAAGGCTACATAAGGAGCAGCGAAGGCTATTCAGTGTCAGTGAGTCAGTGAGTCCTGGAGCTACCTACGAGTCAGTCCTCGAGCTACCTCCGAGTTAGTTCCGAGTTAGCCAGCAACCAGTCAGTTGTATTCTGGCATTTGGAGTACTAATTGTGATACTGCAGATAGCAGTAATCGTAAATCTGTAATTTGGGTGATTGTAAGTGCGAATGTGAAATATAATTCGCTACAGTATGTTAAAACAGCTAGTATGTAGAACCAATGGGATTTAAAAGGTTAAAGAGATGTGGGCAGTTATGTCATGTTAGAAGAATTTGCAAGATTTCTGTTTACTCACACTACAAATTTAAACATGAAACGCAGTTCTGTGTATGGATATCCAAGGGAGTCAGACACATCAAAATGGGCCATCATCCTCTGCTTTTACCTTTCAAATCTGTGAAAATGTTATGTTCCCATGATTCTCCATTCCATTCTGTCATTATCTAATACAGGAGTACACAAAATATGTTTCAAAGTATTATATTTTCATAATCTAATATAGATTTACCTGCTTCCCTCTGAACTCAATCTGGAAGTTCTTGGCTGACTCTTGGGTAACTCGACCTCCAAAGTCAAGTTGGTATACCTGACTGTTCTCATTCCACATGGGTGCCTTATTGTGCATCACAAATTCCCTCCGTCGAGGTTTCTGTGGAGTCGGACTACCTTCAGGGCAATCTACTTTGCACTTTCCACGTTTCAACTGCAACAAATGATAGACAATATTATATTCAATTAATGGAACGAACTGTTCATTAATTCAGTGGAAGTAGATGATATTACAAAATTTTGGTATGTCTAGTCCAGAAATCCATGTTAAGTGGGTTCTTTGTCACCATAGCATGGCGCATCCTCAGGTTGTGGATGGAAAAGATGGCCTCCAGATATGGAGGATAGCTGTGAATATATTGAATACACAGACATGGACAGGCAACAAGGGGTGGTCCTGCAGACTGGTGGTTGGGCGTTTGGCCAACAGCTCCTCACCGTAAAAAATAAACTTGTTACAAGATGTCACAAAGGGCCTCAGACCTGGATGGATTATTTGGATAAAATACCTGTGCTAAAGAAAACAGTCATGAGATTTGGTACATGGAATGTAAGAAGTTTGTACAGGGCAGGTTCTCTCGTGACAGTGGGGAAAGAAATATCAGAATATGTTGGATTTAATGGGGTTACAGGAGGTCAGATAGGTAAGAGATGGCACCAAATGAGCAGGTGAATACACATTTTCTTATGGAAAGGGGAATGAGAGTCATGAATTAGGGACAGTTTTTTGCACATAAGAGAATCATATCAGCAGTTAAGTGGGTAGAGTTTGTTAGTGATAGGATAGAGGTCACTGGAGTGATATCACTGACGATACAAAGGTTCTACAAAGAACTAGAACATGTATTAGATATATTCCCAAAATACCATATGAAAATTTTGTAAGGAGATTTCAATGCTGAAGTAGGTAGGGAAGATATTTTAAAACAAACAACTTGAAATGAGAGTTTGCACAAAATTAGCAATGGTAATGGAGTTATGGTAGTCAACTTTCCCACAACCAAAAATCTGACTGTCAAAAGTACAACGTTCCAACACTGTAACATTCATAAATTTACTTCGACATCTCCTGATGGAAAGAATCAAAACCAAATTGACACTATTTTGATAGACAGGAGATGGCAATAAAGTGTACTTGATGTCTAATCATTCAGGGTAGCAGACTGTGATACCAACCACTACCTGGTGGTGGCAAAAGTTAAGGGGAAACTGGCAGTGAGTAAACAAACAATGCACAGATTTCATGTAGAGAGGTTCAATCTAAAGAAATTAAATGAGGTAGAGGTTAAAGAGCAATATTGTACTGAAACATCAAATAGGTTTGCAGCTTTGGAAAATTTAGACATTGAGGCAGATATTAATAGTGCTTTGGAAACTATTAGAGAGAATATCAAAATTTCTGCCAAAGATAGTCTAGGTTATTATGAAATGAAAAAGCATAAAACATGGTTCAATGAAGGAAGTGGGAAGTCTCAAATCTGAGGCAGTAAAATATGGTCGCAAGTCCCAAGGGACTCAGACCCGAGAAAGAATGCGCTGGCAAGGGCCAGCAGCATATAAAAAAGACATATCCATCTTCTCATCAGAGAGTGCGCCCCACAGAAACAAGACCATAACTGTCAAGCAGTAATAATTGATATCTGTTCATGAGCCCCAGAGGGGGCTTGATACCAAGACTTACCGACTGACTGACTGTCAGTTGCAATGTGACTTTGACTTTCACTCTGACTTTGATACTCAAACTTATTAGACCAAAGGAAACAAGCCAAATTGTAGTGGTTTGAGGATCCAGGAGAAATAAATGGGGATAATGTGAACAATATAAGACGTGAAACCAGCAGGCATTTCAGGAATAAAAAGAGGGAATATCTGAAAGATAAAATTGATGAGCTTGCAACAAACAGTAAGAACAAGAACATTAGGGACCTGTATAGAGGAATAAATGACTTTACGATGGGTCACCAACCTGTAAGTAACTTAGTAGAGGATAAGAATGGTGACCGGCTTGCAGATCCCCACATTTTGAATAGGTGAAAGAACGACTTCTCTCAGTTATTGAATGTACATAGGGTCAGTGATGTTACGTAGATAGAAATGCATCCAGCTGAGCCAGTAGTACCTGATCCTAGCCCTTTTGAGGTTGAAATTGCTATTGCAAATTTGAAAAGGTGTAAATCGACAGGAAGTGATCAATTTCTTGTAGAACTGATTCAAACAGGAGATGAAACATTGCGTTGTATGATCCATAAGCTAATTAATCCTATTTGGAATAAGGAAAAATTGCCTGATCAGTGGAAGGAGTCTATCATTGTATCAGTTCACAAGAAGGGAGATAAAACTGATTGTAGTAATTATTATGGGATATCACTGGTATCAACTTCATACAAAATTTTATCCATTGTTCTTCTCTCAAGGTTAAATCCATACATAAATGAAATTACTGGAGATCATTAGTGTGGGTTTTGACAAAACAGATCAGATCTTTTGCATTCATCAGATACTGGAGAAAAATGTGAGCACAATGAGACAGTACATCAGCTACTCACAGACTTCAAGAAAGCCTACGATTCATTTAGGAGGGAAGTATGGTGCAATATCCTCATAGAGTTGGGGGTACCCTTGAAACTAATTAGGCAGATCAAAATATGTTTAAAAGAAACATATAGTAAAGTCTGTATAGATAAACATTTGTCTGATAATTTTCCTATCCAGAATGGTCTAATACAAGGAGATGCTTAATGGCCACTGCTTTCCAACTTTGCTTTAGACTATCCTGTTAGGAAGGTCCAGGGAAACCAGGTGGGACTGAAATTAAATGGGACACATCAGCAGTTGGTCTATGCTGATGATGTGAATCTGTTGGGAGATAACATAGATACTATTAAGAAAAAGACAGAAACTTTAATTGATGCCAGCTGGTCTAGATGTAAACACACAGAAACCAAGTATATGTTGCTGTATTGTCACAAGAATGCAGGACAAAATCATCACATAAAGATAACTAACAAATGCTTTGACAATGTGGCACTGTTTAAATATTCTGGAATGAAAGAAACAAATCAAAATTTTCACTCAGGAGGAAATTAAGAGGAGACTGAATTCAGGTAATGCTTGCTACCATTTAGGCCAGAACCTTTTGTCTTCCTGTCTGCTGTCTAGAAACATAAAGTATACAGAGCTGTAATTTTATCTGTGGTTCTGTATGGGTGCGAAACTTGGTCTCTGACTTTGTAGGCGGAATATAGACCGAGGGTGTTTGAGAACAAGGTGTTGAGAAGACTATTTGGACTGAAGAGATGAAGTAACTGGAGGATGGAGGAAACTGCACAATGAGGAGCTTCTTAATTTGTACTCTTTGCCAAGTATAATTAGAATGATCAAGTTAAGGACAAAGAGATGGGCAGGACATGTAGCATGAATGGGGGTGAAGATGAATGCATATAGGATGTTGGTGAGAAAGCAGAAGGAGAAAGACCACTAGGAAGACCAAAGCACAGGTGTGAATAATATTAAAATGGATCTTAAGAGAGTTAGGATGGGATAGAATGGACTGGATTGATCTGGCTGAGGATAGGGAGCAGTGGAGGGCTCCTGTGAACACGGTAATGAACCTTTGGGTTCCATAAAATGCTGGATAGTTCTTGTCCAGAAGTAATATTCATATTCATATTCATATTTATTTGCATTCATACTGTTACAACTGCAACACTTGAACAAGTCAACTCACTAAATACATCATTGTTAAAAGCTCTATAATCCTAGAATGTATTAGACTAAAAATAACACTGTGCTTGCCTTACAACATCAATAAAAATTTTAAAAATATAACAATAACTATTACAATTGCTATGCTTCCTCATGTCCCTGTTGAAGAAACTCATTCAATGTATAGAAAGGACGATCAAATAAAAATAATTTTAATTTATGCTTAACTTCGTTACATCCCTTTGACTAGAAGTAGAAGTAGAAGTAGAAGTAACTTGACATTTCAGAAGAATGTAATGTGTCCAAGCACAGCTCTGCTTGCAGCTTGTTTCTTGCTGGTTGCTTGCTTAGCTTGCTCTTTGAATCTGAAGAAAGAGGGAATATATTCTTCGAAAATGTCAGTAAAATTATATCGGGTTACATGACAACATACCCCAGAAGACAGTAATCTTCACACCCTTTTTTTTATAAATGTTTGATGTCATTATGATGCATGATTTCTGACAAAGCAATTATTAAGAAATGTTATGAGAAACTGATGCAGCAATTTACTTGTGTGATGGAAACCAACTTGGAATCTTGTCTTCTGAAACTACATAGGTATCTTATCATTAGGGACCAGATTATTATGCCCTAATAATCCCTTAAATATGTATGCATTTATGCATGAAAAACTTCTGAAATATGCACTAAAATATGCACATAAAAATGTATACCAAATATTAAAATTGATTTTACATTATTTTAAGACCAACAAATCAATATTTAAAATCATTTTATGTAATCACTGAATGGTTTACTTGCAACAAAAAGCTATACTTAAATACAAATCATGCAACAAAGCCAACATATTTCATTACATACAGTAAAACTTGGTTATAGCAACATCGGTTTCTGCGACACCTTGTCTATTGCGTCAAATATTCAATGGTACGAACTAATTCCTCATAAAGCAACTGTTTTTATACCTTGCTTACTACGACATGCACAAATGCATCAACCTCGTATGTAACGTCATTTTCATTCCTGAATTTCTCTGATATGGACATTGAACGTAATTTAGAAAGTGTGTATTGGGCAAGTAACAGGAAACAGATGAAGATAACTGATTACTGTACTCGTATCTAGGTACAGTAAGGCACAACAATTGATGTAATCTACTGTAATTTGGTGAGTAGGCCTACCTTTAATATACAGTATTAGTGCGGTGTGTATTGTCAGTGAAAAGCGCTGTAATATGTCTTTGATATTACACATTTGGGCAATTCCACGTTAATGTTACGTTAGTCTGTACTTAACTACGTATTTCACTAAAAAATGCAACATTTTAACTCGGTTTTTGGTAGATTTTTACGTGACTAACATAAGGCTACTGTGGAAGTGCCCATTTCGGTTACAACGACATTCGTTTATAACGACACTATTTTTAGGTCCCTTTGATGACATTAT